CCAGACCTGGGCTCCAGGGCTCAGACTCTGACCCCTCCAGGGAGACAGGAAGCCTGTGGGCGGGGGGAGCTGCAGAGTGAGACCCTGGCCTGAAGCCAGGCCCCTGCAGGACGTGGCCTCCGTGGAAGGACAGAACAGGACACCCAGTGCCCAGCACAGACGGGGGGTGGGGGCTGCCTCGGAGGCAGAGGCTGGACACTGGCCGCCACTGGTCAGGCAGTGTGGTGGTCAGGGCTTCCAGAGACAGAGCCACTGGGGGGACAGAGAGCGAGCGGCTGGACAGTAGACCAGAGGCAGTTGTTAGGGGACCCACTCCTGTCATCACGGGCTCACAAGTCCCACGGGACGTCTGCAGGCTGGAGACCCTGCGCTGCCGGCCGCGAGGCTCAATCCATGCTGAAGGCCTCGGAACCAGGCGAGCCCACGGCGGGACTCTGTCCAGGTCCTGGGCCTGAGGACCTGGGGGCCACTGGGGGCCTGGAGTCCGGAGCCGAGAGCCCGGGGTTCTGAGGTCCAAGGGCAGGAGCGGAGGAGCCGTCCCGGCCACCAGGCCACCCTGCAGATTGGGTGGCGCCCACACCAAGGTGGACCTTCTGCATGCAGCCTACAGACCCACGCTGCCCACTGACCCACGCCCTGTCTCCTCCGCAAACGCCACGGTCCCAGGCAAACTTCCCAGGGGAAAGGCTCCGGCTGCTGCCTGGCCACCCGTCACCGGCCAAGCAGGTCCTGCAACAGCCATCGCCAGAGCCTCCCAGGACCCCAGAGCCGAGCGTCCTGAGTCAGGAGGGCCGTGGGTCTCAGGCCTGGACTCTGGCCCCAGGACAGTCACCAGAGGCCCCCAGGCCCACGCCTGGCCCCCACTGCGGGGGCAGGTTTGCTGAAGGAATGATGAGGGTCGAGGGGACAGACGGGAAGGGGAGGGCACCCGAGCAGCTGGGGCGTCCACAGCCTCCAGCCTCCCTCCACCTACCTTCTAGGACCCCAGGGCGGGGCCGGGGACAGGGAGGGGTTCTGAGGGAGCGAGGGGTCCAGGGCAGAGGGGTCAGCACCCAGGGCATCCGCGTGGTCCCAGGAGCCTCCTACGGCCTGGACCCCAACCTGAACCTCTCTGGGCACAGCAGGCCACATCCCACCCCGCCCCACCTGCCCTCCACAAGGGCCTGGAGGAAGGGGCCCCTGCCGCTGACGGCCAAGCGGGAGAAGAGTGTTCCACACCCGATGTCGGGGCGGCCAGCCGCACTGTCCCCGGGGCCGCAGGTCTCCTGGGCCCAGTATCCAAATCCATGCAGAAGCCGGGCCTGGACTATTTTTAGCCGTCGCGGAGGAAGCCAGCTGAGGCTGCCTGGGAGGGGCGGGCTTTGTCTGGCGTGGGGACGGGGGGATCACAGGCAGCCGCGTCTCTGGGCCAGCTTTCTTTTTCCCACGCGGCTTTTATTGAGTAGCCACCTTGCTTCTTTGAGGAAAGATAAACCGGGCTGCTTACTGGGGCCAACGTCCAGGCCGGAGGCCGCTGGACTCCTGTCCAGGATGCTCAGCCCCAGCCTGGCCTCAGGGCTGGCCGTTCCTCCCTCCTGTGATGGCTTTAAGTGCAGGGGAAGCCTGACCCTCTGATCCGCTGCCCGTGGCTGTGGCAACAGATGACCTCAGGCCCTGGCTTCCGACCAGAGAGGACTCTCATAGTCACGGAGGCCAGAAGCCAGCGGCCAGGGCCCGTGGGCCACGTCCCCCGGATGGCTCCAGAGAGCTCCCCCTGCCCCCCCGGCCGCGGTGGGTCCTTGGTGTCCTGGTTTGCTGCTGTATCCCGCCCACCTGTGCCTCGGTGTCACACGAGCTCTTCCCGCCTGTCTCTGTGTCTCTGTCCTTCTTAGGACCCGGTCGTTGGGTTGAGACCCATCTTCCACTCCAGTACGGCTTCAGTGAAACTGGTGACACCTGCAAACACCCTGCTGCCGATACGGTGGCCCTCGCAGGCACAGGGGCCAGGGCCTCCCTGCACATTGGGGGACACCATTCCACGCGCAGGGCCTGCCGCCTCACTGGAGGGGGGGAGGGGACGGCGCAGGCAGGTGCCAGGCCAGCGCCAGCCTGAGGTCCTCCTCCTCTTCAGGGGCAGCTGGGCCTGGAGGCGCGGCCAGCTTCGTCTCTGCAGGAAGGACTGGCAAGCTCCAGCTTCTCCGGCCGAACTGGCAGCTGGTCCTTCCTCTGGGCTCGAGTCCTTCTGGTGTCCAAGTTCTTGTTCTCCCACTACTGTCCGTCCCTGCGGCTCCACCACCCCGCTTCACCCCGTCACAGCTGAAGACGACGAAAGGAGCCTGCTACCAGGGGCGGCGGCACACACCCTGGTCCCCGTTACCTGGGAGCCTGAGGCCAGCCTGAGCCCCTTGGTGACAACCTGTCTTTAAGAAAAGGCTGGGGCTGTAGCTCGGTGACAGAGCCCAGCATGTGTGAGGCCCTGGGCCCCTTGCCCCCCAAAAGTGGGCCATACTCTGGTTTCTCCCGAGGTTGTGTGATTATTTTCCCTTTTACTAAGAGCAGGTCAAACACCTGGACACCCCATAGAAGGAGATACACAGACAGGAACCCACGCTGCTCACCCCACTACCAGGGAAACACAAACCACGAGGAGACGCCACCTCACAGCCACCAGAGTGGCCCAGATCACCACATGTGACAAGTGTGGAGCGGCAGGGACTCTCCTCCAGGCTGGTGAAGTCGCACACGAGGCAGCCGCTCCGGAAGACAGCTTGGCACCGGAGGTTTCTTGCAAAACTAAACCCACATTAACTGTGTGATCCAGAAATCCTGCTCCTTCATATTTATCCAAATTTCTGTCCACAGGGAAATCTGCACAGGCTGTTTATAGCAGCTTTATTCACTGCCTCTGCCAAAGATTGGAGGCAACCCAGGTGCCCCTCGGTAGGTGGATGGATGAACACACTGTGGCCCATACAGACGGTGGAATATTACTCACCACTAAAAAGAACTAAGCTATCAAACATGAAAAGACACAGAGGATCTTCAAATGCAAAGTCACCAGACCGAAGAGGCCGCCTGTGTGTGGCTCCAGCTTTGTGACATTCTGGAAAAGGCAGACCTGGAGGGGAGGCGGGGGTGGATGGGCAGGGCTCAGGGTCTTGGGGCAGGGAAGCTGCTCTATGGTGCTCTAATGGTGGCCACATGTCATTAAACTCTCGTCCACACCCCTGGGATGCGCCACACCTGAGTGACCCTGATGGAAACCGCGGGCTTCTGGGTGTCATGAGGTGGCCGTGGAGGTTCCTGGACTGTGATGAGCGTGCCACTCTGGTGACGTTGACGGAGGGGAGGCTGTGACGTGTGGGGAAGGGTGTGTGGGAATTCGATCCCATCCACCCACTTCTGCTGTGAACTTCACATTGCTCCAAAGAACAAAGCCCATTTGTTTGGGGTGGGGGGACCAGGGATTGAACTCAGGGGCACTCGACCCCTGAGCCCCATCCCCAGCCCTATTTTGTATTTTATTAGAGACAAGTTCTCACTGAGTTGCTTAGCGCCTCACTATGTTGCTGAGGCTGGCTTGGAACTCACCATCCTCCTGCCTCAGCCTCCTGAGCTGCTGGGATTACAGGCGTGCACCACCGCGCCCCACCAAAGTCCATTTTAAAACCAGGCTGGGCTCCCAAGAGACCTGGGCCAGATTTCAGAGCTCCACCCCACTCCTGCTGGACAGGACCCTGGCCAGTAGTTGGTTCGGCTCTCCTGTCCGCAGGCTCCACTGGGCAGAGCACAGCAGTGAGAGACAGAGGGGGACGGAGGCCAGCTGTCCTCTGCCTGTGTGCTCCAGGTGAGGCCCCCGCCCCTCAGGCCTCCATCTGCACAACGAGGGGACAGGAGGATTTCGGAGCCCCGGGCAGCTGGCTTTGATCTCTGTGGGCAGACCTGGCCGTGTCAGATCTCCACCTGCATCACATCCTAAATAGAAAAGAATGGCCACAGTCACTGTGGCCTGGGAACTTAATTAAAATAGGCAATGACTAGTGACCCACACGCTCCTGTTGGAAAACAGCTCCCGGCACCCACTGGGCGGACAGTGTTCCCAAGTGCCACCCCTGGCCCAACAGCAGCAGCAGCAGCAGCAGACCTAGGAGTCTGTCAAAGATTCAAGCCCCCTCCCCGGCCCCCAGACCTGCTGAACCGGAGCGGGAGGCCCACAACAGGGTTCTAAGCCCAAAGCCAGGCGGCCCAGCAGGCCTAGAGCCGCTCTGTTAAGCTCGGTGCTGTTGACACTGTGAGCTGGGTCAGCCTTTGCGGCTGGCCATCCTGGGCACTGTAGGCTGCTGACCAGCATCCTGGACGCTACCTATTATCTGCCAGTAGCACACCAGCCCCAAGTCATGACAATCAGAAGTGTCTCTGGGCAGTACTGCCCTCCAAGGCACAAAGCGGACCCCCATTGAGACTCCCTGGCAGGAAAGAGGCCCCGACATGGGGGTCTCAACAGAGGACCTCATAGCGACTGTGAAATGGTCCCCATTTCCTCCCTTCTTACAAGCTGTGTGGCCTTGGGCAAGGTACTTAAACTCTCTGTGCCTCTGTTTTCTCGACGGTAAAAATGGGGAAATGACCCCACAGGACAGTCAAGCACAAAAGTGACCACTCCTACGTCAAACTCCCAGTCCGGTGCCCTGAGTGACGTGAGCCTCCATAAACCATAGTCCTCGGGGATCGCCTGGCCTTTATCAGTGCCCGGCCTGCTGGAGCCCGCGAGGCCAGCTCAAGGTGGGCATGACAGGGCACTACTCTGCCTGTCAAGCAGGTGCAGTGACGAGGAGGGTCCCTGTGGTCACGGCGGGGAGGGGTACACCGGTCCCCGGTGCCAGCTTTGTAACCCAGGGTCCCGTGTGCTCCAAGGGACATAAGGCAGAGCCCGGGGCCCCGAGCCCCACCCCCCGATGAGCAAGCCGTGGGGGTCCCCGTAAAGGACGAGGAGTGGCACAATTCCTCTTTTGCATCTCACATCCCAATAAAATATTTATTATTTCAAGAAATAAATCTTTAAAAAAAGAGAGAGAGAGAGAAAAGAGTGTCTCTATTGCTTTCCCCCCACGGGTCAGGTCCTGGGGACATCGAGCTCTTCCCGCCGTGGTTTCTGCGGCCCCGGGGCCAGCCTGGCCAGGAGGGGCTCCCAGGACCGGTCACCTCCAGCCCTCCTCCAACTCTCAGGCCCCGGGGCTGCCTCCCTGGGTGGGCGGCCGGGTGGACAAGACCTCTCCCGGGCAAGGGGGTGGCAGTGATTCTGAAAGCCTGGCCGTGGAATCAGACGGGGGACGGGCACCCTGGGGCGGGCAGGCATGCCACACCGATGGGCACGTGGCTCCATCTTGGTCTAAGGCTGGACGAAGCTGAAGGGGGACACGGATGCAGCACGGACGGGTGGGGGCCGCCGGGAGCTGGGGGCCCGGGCAGCGGGGACGGGCTGGGGGTGCCCGGGGTGGTGGGCAGCCCACCCCAAGCCCTGCCTGCAAAAGATGCTGAGGGTGTGGGAGCCAGCGTCTGGGGACCTGGAGGACACTCCCGGGACACCCGGAGGGGCCCCTGCAGGCCGAGTGGAAGCCTGCCCCTGGCCGGGCTGGACGGAGGCTGTGGGGCAGATCCGCCCATCTGGGGCTGCAGGTCATGCCACTGGATTCAGCCCGCGGGGAGGAGATCTGGGACAAGCAGGACGGGGACAAGCCGGCCAGGGTGTAGGTGGTCCCGCACCCAAGTGGAGAGGGAGGGGACTCAGGAAATGGAGAAGGAACAGGGCGGGGCGAGGGCGGGGCGAGGAGGGCCCCCCAGCCTACCTCCCACAACCCTCCCCTCTGTCCACCCCCAAACAACCCCAGAGGGACCCGGCTGGCCCTGCGTGCTCGGCGGCCCTCACAGGAAGAGGGTACACCCCGCAGGTCTCTCCCAGCACAGGCCTGGGCCAGGCTGCTGTCCACTCCTGGGCTCCCCCAGTGGACCCTGCTGCCCATGTCATAAATCAGGAGGCCCCACCCAGGGCCCAGGAATGGCCAGGCTCTTCCCCTGGTCCAGACCTTACCTTGCACAAAGCAAGGGGCCTCAGACCACCTGCTCCGGGGCCTCTGGGACCCTCCGACCAGCCCAGTATCTACTTGGCCGTGAGTCCCGGGTGAGAGCGAGGACCCCCAGGTGAGTGCCCGGGGCCTGTCCTCCCCTGGACTGTGCTTGGCTCTCCCCGGCCACTTCCAGGCTGGGAGGGAAGCCCCAGCCGGGGAGCCACAGGCAGGCGAGCGGCTGGAGCTGGGGTCTGCTGGTGCTTTCTCTGTCGGGAGGCGCAGGGCAGGGCCTCGGCCACCTCACAGGCAGCCCCGGCACAGGGCCACCTGGCCCTTGCGGAAGTCGCGGCAGGGGCAGAGCCGCTGGTACTTGGTGCTGGAGCCGGCGCAGCTGAAGAGCAGCGGCTCCTTCTGCAGGTAGCACTCCTGGCCGGGCTGCGCGAGGGCGGGGTACAGGTGGTGCATCTCCCACTCCGTGCTGTCACAGGGCACCTGCAGCCTGCGCGGGCGCCACAGCACGGTCACCACGGGGGCACTGCCCACCTCTCCGCACCCCTGCCCCAGACTCGGGGACAGGCAGGTTCAGCTCCTTAACGGCCTCTGGGAGCCTGGGGGACAGCGGCCGGGGTCCCAGCTGGAGGGACGCCACGGCCGCCCTGTGGAGAAGGTGCCCACCCAGCTGGGACGGGCCCCAGGGGCTGGGACGCAGGGGGGCCTGGGAGGGAGCGTCCTGGTGGCGGCTGGGTCCACCAAGAGCACAGCCACAGACGCGGATGCCCCCCCAGCAGGCCCCTGACGGACCCGAGGGCAGGCCCCCGGGCGGGCGGCGGGCGGGCACTCACTGGAGGAAGGCCTCCTGGCTGTTGAGGAAGGGGAAGAAGGACGGCTCGCAGACCAGCCCGTGGTCCAGGCAGGCGTCCGTGCAGGCCCTCCCGGGGGCGGCCAGCCAGGCCCGCAGCGAGTGGGGCGGGGGCCAGGCCCCGGGGACCTCGCTGGCGTTCCGGGCCCACTCCAGGTGGGTGGCGTTGGGGGCCAGGACAAAGGGGCTGTGCGAGGCGCGGGTCCCCGGCGGGGCAGGGCTGGGCGCTGCACAGAAGTCCTGCAGGAGGAGAGCCGCGTCAGGGAGGCGGAGTGGGCCGCCGATGGCCTGGCCACCCAGGACCCAGCCTGCAGCTTCATCAGGAGCCACGCTGGGCACTCCCTGGGTGCCCCGCCCGCCCGCACACGCCCAGGTCACCTGCTCCTCCAGTAGCCCCACCCCACACCCAGGCGCCCCCAGGGACTTTGCAGGAAGGCAAGGAGGCCGAGGTCGGGACCTGCGCAGCTCCCACCTGCAGTGTCCGTGTGTCCCACACAGCCCCCTGCCCCGCCCTGATGGCCTTGGGACGGGCAGGGAGCGGAGGGCCACCTACCTGGTGCTGGATGTAGGCCTGGATCCGCTCCAGCATGCCCTCGCAGGTGTACTCGTAGGGCAGGTAGGGCTCCACCTGTGGAGGGCGCCCGGGGAGAGGCCTGTGGCTGGGCCCGGGGCTGGCACTGGGGGATCTGCTCTGCTCTCAGGCCCAGGGAGCAACCACCCCGTCCACCTGGGCCCCTCCGCTGCCGTCCCTGCTCCCTACACCCTCGAGGGGACCCTGGGGACTCAGGCTCAGCCCTGGACCCTTCCTGTCTCCTGGCCTCGTCGTCCCCACCCCTTCCCCCACCTGCCCACAGCCCCGCCCTCCACCCCCCTGGGCTCTGTGCCCCCTCCCCAGCCTGGCCCCTCTTAGATGCCACCCCCTCAGAGCACCCTGAGCCCATGTCCTCCTGGTACAGGGCCGCGTTCCCGGAGGTTCTCAGCACCCCAGACTCCTCCCCCCGCCAAGACCAGCACCTGAGCCCCTGTGTCCCTGCGTCCTGCCCACGCCCCGTCTCTCTCAGGAGCCCATGGCCCCTCGAGGGCGGGGACTAGGCTTGTTCCCCAGAGTCCCTGGTGCCTGGTACCATGCCTGGCACACAGTGGGACTCAGGTTGTGGGATCAAAAAGCTCCACCTGAACCCCACCTCAGATGTGGGACCTTCACATAGAGGGACACAGGGCACTCCCAGTGGGAGGGAACAGGTGACATCTGTAAACCGCCCTGCCCAGGCCACATGTGGCTGCGAAGGAGGCGCTACACAAGAGGCCATGTGCTACCTAATGGTCTCAGGGTCCAGGGCAGCCTGCGCCGGGGCTCGCGGGCAGAGTGGCTGGAGCACAGGAGGCGGAGGAAACCGAGAGGCAGGGGGCACCTCCCCAACCCCCTCCTGTGCTTCACCGCAGGCCCAGCAGAGAGCCGCCTGGGAGGGCCCGCGGGTGGAGAGGGCAGGGGCGGCAGGACGTGGGGCTGACCAGCCTGACTCAAGGGAGGTGGCCGCTGCCTTTGGCCTCCCCAAGCCCCGCACGATGGTACCTGGCCCCGCCCCGCCCCGGCCAGTCCCCAGTGACGCCGTCTCCCTGCTGCCACTCCAGGGATGAGACCCTTGGCCCCGGGGGTGCCCCTCCCTCCTCACCAGGGGACAGCAGGATGTCCAGCAGAACTACGCACCCCCCTCCTCACCAGGGGACAGCAGGATGTCCAGCAGAACTACGTGGGGCCCTGCTTCCTGCAGAGCCCACCTCTTAGGGCTGCAGGCCCATCCTGGACCCTCTGACCAAAGGGACACTCCCAACACTCAGGGCCCCAGGGAAATAGACCCCACTGCTCCCCTTGAAGCTGGTCCCGGCCACCTTCTGACTCCAGGGACAAGAGGTCACCAGCCTGACCCTGTCCCAGGTCTGGTTTACCAGGCACTGTATCTGTTCTCAACCCCAGGGCTGCTCGGAGTCCCAGAGAGCACCAATGTCCCCCTCCAGCCACCCTGCACATCCCAGCCACCACCTCTGTCCCAGGTGCTGTGCGGGCCTGTCCCACCCAGCTCTCCTCCCCACCCCCCACAAGTGGCCACGAGGACCTGACGCCCAGGGCAGAGTCCAGCCTCTGAGCGCTGCCCCTGCAGGCTGCCGGGCCCCTTGCAGGGCCAAGTCCTCCAACCCAGGATGTAAAGAAAAGGCCCAGGGAAGGGATTTTCCTCTCCCAGCGCCGCTCCGGCTCTAGGGTGACAGCAGATCCCCGAGTTATCCCCCGTGTTCGAGGCACTTGTCACGAGGTGATTCAAAGGCCCTGCGCGCAGGGCGCGCTCCCGTCCTGCCTGCCATGAATCCCCCGTCGGGCAGCAGCCTGCCTCCAAATCACCCCCGTTAGGTCTAGTGACAGGCGGGCAGGGCATCAGTCTCCCCAGGGTGACAGGTGCTGGGAGAGGCCGGGGCGGGCGATGGCCTCATCTGGGCTCTGGATGGAGATGCAGCTGCCACCGCCCAGGGCAGGGAAGGGCAGCCGACCTTCCCTGGCCACGCGGGGTGGGGGGACGGGGGCCTTGGTGTCTGCAGAGGGAGCAGCTGGCCCCCTGAGGTGGCCCTTCGCCCCCCGCCAGCTGTTCCTCAGTGGACTTCCTGAAGCAGATTTGGCACCCCCAGGTGGAGTCAGGGGCTGGGTGGGCCGGGGACTGCAGGAAGCCCTCCCTCCCCAGGTGATTCTTGGGAGTGTTGGAGGCCCCAGGGGTGAACTGCCAGGAAGAGGGGGGGCTCGGGAGGAGGCTTCGGGCAGGTGGGCCTGGCCTGGGGTCCTGGGGAGGCCTGGGGTCCCCGTGAGGCCTGGGGTCGCTGCGCGGCCTGGGTCCCCGTGAGGCCTGGGGTCCCCGTGAGGCTTGGGCTGGCCAGATGTCAACACCTTGGCTGCTGGGTCCCTGGTCATGGCTCCCTCCCTCCCTCCCTCCCTCCCTTCCCGGGGCCGGGGGTTAAACTAGGGCCTCCTGAAGGCCAGGCAAGCGCTTGACCACTGAGCTACGTCCTCAGCCCTGCTATGGCTATTTTTAAATTAACTGAATAACAAAATTAAACAGATGTTCATGTAAAAACATTAAAAATAAAAGAATAATGAAAAGGAAGCCCCCAGCCCCTCCCCCCGGGCAGCCTCCTTCCTCAGTCCCCGAGTCCCAGTCCCCGAGTCCCAGCAGCAGTGGCCTGGGACTCTAGGGCACATTCGTTCCCATGCACAGCCCCCTCCCCTGCCCCAGCCTTCAGGTCTGGGGAGGGGACACCCCCCCACAGGCTCCTTCTGCTTGGTGGTCCCTGGAGGTCAGGCCAGTCCTCACGGGGCTGGGGAAGAGCCTGGCTGGTGGCCCTCCCCACCCTGCCCCTGCCCCTCTGCAAGAGGAGGCCAGCAGGGCCCAGGGAGGTGGGCTGAGGACTGGGGAGAAGGAGTGACGGGGGCGTGGGCTGCGAGTGGACGGAGTGACCCCCTCAGCCCCGAGGCCCCTGCCGGAGGCTGCTGCCCGGGCTCTGGCGCTCCGGGCCCCACTCAAACCCATTAACCTGTAATAATCCGCCGTCCAGCCTTGACTGGGGCCTGGCCAGCAGCCGGGCTCCTGCTCGCCTTAAGCTCTGCAAGGCCGGGCCAGGACTCCGGGGTGACCCTGGGCTCACCCTGTCTGCATCCCTAGGCCCAGTGTCACACGGCCGGAGAGCGGCTCCCCACAGCCCCTCTGTCCTAGACGGTCCACCCCAGGGCTGGCTCCAGGGAGCTGGAGGAGGACCGTCCACTTCCTGCTCCTCTGGGATGTGACTGAACCCCCTGCCCAGGGGCCCCAGGGTGAGGAGCTGCAGGCACCCTGCTCAGGACCCCCCCCTTCCTGGGACCCCTCCCTCCTGACCCCTCCCAGAGAGTCCCCCTGTGGACCCCTGCCTCAGGGCACCCCAGAGGAGCCAAAGCTCAGTCTGTGACTTGAGGGACTTCCAGGGGAGAGGGAGGCGGTCTAAGCTGATTCCCGGGAGGGGAGAGGGTCTCGACGGCTGCGACCGAGGGTCAGAGTGAGCTCCTTGGCGGGACCCTGGCCTCGTCTGTTTCGGCTAAAGACGTGTGCGCCAGGACCTGGCAAGCCCTGCTGGGCACTCACTCTAGAAACACTCATCTCCAGACAAGGACGGACGGACCTGGGTGCTCCCATCAGGAGTGAAAACTGATCTTGTCCACCAGGTCCCCAGAAGAGCTATGTGCACATTGTCACTCGAGATGGGCTGCTTAAAGGATACAGACCCACACCTAAAGCAGGGTTTGAAGGAGCTCCACGCTTTCATCCTGAAGAATTTACTTAGCACCCAATTTGTGTTAGGAGTGCTCACAGGGCCTGGCCCTTCATTGTGCCCAATAAGTGACTCTGAAACAGCGGCTACCCCGTAAGGTTGTGCAGGTCGTTCACTGCACAAAGGTATGCTCTCTAAAACCTACGCCCTGGGTTGGTGAGTGAGGGCCTCTGCTCACTCTCCGGTCCATGTGGCTGGACTCAGAGGTAGGTTTGGGAGGGAGGTGGGCTCCTTGGCCGAGTCTGAGCTTAGCCAGAGGGGCACGTCTCTCTGGTTACATAATGAGGGCCCGCAGTGTGAGCAGCGGCAGTCCGGCTGGGTGCGAGGCTCACCTGGGTTTTCATGATGGCCTGGATGGCTGCTTCGAACTCCTCGGAGTTGTTGTAGTCCACGGTCCACACGTAGGGCTTGCCGATGAAGTTCTCTGCGTAGGGGTGCTGGGAGAACACCTGGCCGGCAGACAGGCGGCCCTCTGCGTCCCGCCCCTTTGCCCCGTCGCCCCCCCTCCCGGGAGCCCCCGCGCCCACTCACCTCCCTGGAGGTGGGCTTGCCGCGGAAGAACTCGTGGTTGAGGGAGCTGTGCGGCGGGCGGAAGCGGGACTGCAGGAAGACGCAGCCGTTGGCGATGGCCTCCAGGGGGGCCGGGCCCTCGTAGGGGAAGCCGAAGCCTATGAAGAGCTGAGCGGCCCCGCACAGGTCAGGGAGGGCGGGAGCCCGGAGCCAGGCAGGGTGGGGGCCGGGCAGCAGGCGCCCTCCCTCTGGGCAGGCCTGGTCTCCCCAGGGTGAGGCTGGGGGGTGCTGTGGTCTGTGACCCCGGAGGGGAAGGACAGCAAGGATCCCCAGCCCAAGAGGCTGCAGCTGACTTCCAAGGACCCCCCCCACCCTCACTCCTCCTAAACCCTGGTCCTGCACCCAACATGCACAGGGCTGGCTCCCGCAAGGGGCTTGATCAGTGGTACTGGATCGGGGCTGCTGTGTGAGGTGGTTCAGGTCGTTCACTGCACAGAGAGATCCTTCCCTGTGGACCCGCAGAAGCAGCCCTCCAGCGTGAACGACCCCAAGGAACTGCAGCCAGGGCCTCTCCCAGCCTGCCCCCCCACCCACTCAGAGGCTCCAAAACACCTGCCTGGCTCCTGTCACCCACAGCCAGGCTGTGGCCCTGCCCAGGCCCCTTTCCCTGTCGGCTGGCCCTGCCTGCTGGGCACCCATGTGTGCCCCGGGCTCTGGCCGCTCCCCCCCTCCCCAGGACTGGACGCAGGGCTCAGGGCAGCAGAGCACACTGGGGCGTGTCCACACGCAGAAGGGGCCCCGCGTGGAGGCCGCAGCCCTGGCAGGTGTGGCGCAGGTGACCGCGGCGGCTCTGTGGCGGCGGGGCGAGGACGTGCGTGCAGGGGACTCACTTTGGCCTTGCGCAGCAGCTGCTGGAACTCAGGCTGCGGCAGGAGGCCGTGGTTCTTGACGAAGGCGGGGACCTCGGGGGGCCGCTGGCTCTCGTAGTACACGGTGCCGTGGACCTCCATGTACTTGTGCAGGATGCCGAGGAACTTCTCCTTCCCCTGAGGAAGAGGAGGCGGGCGGCCTCACCCCGGGCTCCAAAGCAGGCCCCGGGCGAGGCGCCTGGCCGCAGCTGTGCAGCCCTGGGCCAGGCCCCGCTCCTCTCTGGTCCTTGGTTTTCATCAGTGACTCCGCAGCTTGGACCAGGCCAGAGGGTTCCGGGTTATTTTTAGCCACGGAGTGTTTCTTCCAAAGGAGGCCGACGGGGACCCACTGAGAGGGATCCAGGTGGGTCCCTTGGCCTCCTCGGTACCTCAGAGGACCCCGAGTGCCTGGGAGGAACTGGGTGCTCTCAGGAGCTCAGGTCACCCCCACACCCACCCCTCATCCCTCCACCCACCACCCATCTGTCCGTCTGCCCATCCATCCACCCTCCTCTCCTCAGGAATGATCTGGAAGGAAAGGTGGACCAGAGCTGGAGTCGCCCCTGCAGGCCACCCTGTTCTAGTCGCTGCCGTCACTGTCATCGACTGAGGTGATCTGGGACTTCTAGGGCCACCAGCCACCAACCAAGAGTAAAGCAAAGCCCCTCCGGGAGGAAAGAGCGTCACCCGTGACCTCAAGTCATGTCCCCTTCGGAACCCGAGAGGGAAGGAACAAGCCCGACTCCAAAACTCGTCGGAGAAGCCAAGGACCTCGCGGACCAAGGTGAGCAGCCCTGTCACCTGAACCCAGAACCACGGCTCTGGGCTTCTCGCCCACATCCCTCCCCACAGCAGCAGACACCCACTGAGGAGCAGGGGGTGATGGAAGCCCGGAGGGAGGGGGAGCCTGAGAGCCACCGAGGGGCCTCGCAGGAAGGAAAGGCCGGAGAGAAAGCAATGACCTCTGCTCTCACACGGTGTGAAAGGGCAGGTTCAGAAGGGACTGCCCCTGGGGACCTGAACCAGGGCACTCGGAGGAGGGAAGAGAAGGCGGGAGGAAACCCTGGGGCTGTGGGGGCAGGGGAAGATTCCCGGCTACAGTACAGAGGCCCAACCCACAGGCCACACCTCGGCCTCAGTATGTTAAGAAACCTTGCTTCTTGAAGGATGCTGTTGAGAGAAACACGAGCCACGCACAGACCAGGAGAGAACATTTGCAAAGCATGAGCTTGACAGAGACCTTGGATCCAGAGACGTGAAGAACCACAACAGCTCAGCAGCAAGAAAATAAGCCAGACGTGCGCCACCTCGCGACTTGGGAGGCTGAGGCAGGAGGATCGCGAGTTCAAAGCCAGCCTCAGCAAAAACAACGCGCTAAACAACTCCGTGAGACCCTGTCTCTAGATAAAATTTAAAATACGCAATTGTTTTTGCATCGGGGATTAAACCCAGGGGCACTTAGCCCCTGAGCCACGTCTCCAGCCCTTTTTATTTTTTATTTTGAGGCATGATCTCACCAAGTGGCTGAGGCTGGTTTTGAACCTATGATCCTCCGGCCTCAGCCTCCTGGTATTACAGCATGCCCAAGCAAAAATTTTAAAGATGCATGACTATAAAAGATACAAGGAAGATAAATACACAATATCTTCAACACCACCAGTCATTAGGGAAATGCAAATTAAAATTAAAAAAAAAAAGTGCCATTCCACACCTGTTAGAAGGGCAGATGGCTAACATAAATTTGTAAAGGGAACTGAATGCTCACACATTGTCGGGAAGACTGTGACATGGTGTGATTCCTTTTCTTTAGAAGTTTAACAGATTTCTACAATATGGCCCAATCGTTCTGATCCTACGTATTTACCCAAAAGAAATGAAAGTATGTATTTGTACAAAAATTTTTAAATGAACGTTCATAGCAGCTTTCTTTATAATACCACATATCAGAAATGACCCGAATGTCCATTAACAACTGAAGGAATAGACAGACTGTGGTATATCCATACAATGAAATACTACTGGGCAGTAAAAAGGATGAACGGTTGGTTCACACCAAAACATGGATGAATCGAGAGATCACTACTGAGAAGGTCCACACAAACCTGAGTACACACTGCATTACTCCACTTACACAGAACTTTAGAACATGCAAACTAACCCATAGTGACAAAAAGAAAGCCCCTGGTTGCCTGAAGATGGGGGAGGACAGATGGGAGGAGGAGACTTTGGAGAGAGTCCCTATGCTGACTGCAGTGGTGGTTTCACAGGTAAATGTCTATGTTCAAACTCATAAAATCGTGAACCTTAAACATATTTAGTTTACTGTATGTCGATTATCCTGCAAGAAGATGGCTAAAAATATTTTTAACTAAAAAAATTCAATACTGTGATTTAAAAACGCCATCCAGGGCTGGTGTCCGGCTCAGGGGCACGACACCCACCTTGCGGTGCGAGAGCCCTAGGTTAAGCCCCAGCGGCGCCCAGGGAATAAAGCACATGAAGGGACCAGACTGTGGCTACAGACCAAGGGCCACTGGGCAATCTAGGTCTGGAGTCCCCGGATGGCACTGGTAAGAATCGTCCCTATCACGCAGAACGGAGACAAATGAGAGGACCCAAGAGCTGGCACCCAGGGAGCACCCAGGGGTCCAAGGCCTGTCACCTTGTTGCCGTACACCCTGCACAGTGCCCCAGTCCTCAGTCTGAGCCCAGAATGAGGTGGGATGGGGCTGCTGGGGAAAAGCCACTTCTCAGTGTCCCGCCCAGGCATGGCCGTGGGACAGGGATCTAATGTCAGACAGGTGGGAAGAAGATGACCCCGAATGTTGCACCCTCTCCTTGCTCCTTCTCGCTGGCTGGAACACAGCTGTCGTGGCTGGAGTGTGTGCAGCCGTGTGGACCCACGTGGAAGAATGGGGTGAAGATGAAACCTGGGGGCCCACACAGGAAGGGGGGCCCAGGACTCCCGCCAGACCAGCGTGACCACCTCCTGATTTTGTGACCAGGAAGGAAAGCCAGATTTCAGACTTGTCTGAATCACTGTGGTTGAGGTTTTCCTGTGACAGTGGGACCTACCCTCACGAGTGCAACCGTGGGAATCACTAAGAAAGATGGTGCAGCTGCGATCCGTGTCTCCACCGTCGGCAAGTTTACTATGAACCCAGACCTCAGGTTTATCCCAACCACCCTGTCCCTCCCAACCCTAGCGACCGTCCTGTGGCCATGCCAAGCCGGGCTCTGACCAGTAGGGACCTGCTGTCCCCATCACCGTCCTCCCTACAGGAGCCACAGACCCTGAGTGCTGAGTCAGGGGACATCCCCGGGGGGAGCCCACCGAGCCTGCTGGGAGCCAAGGGCATGCTGCAGACGTTCCATACCTGGAGCTGCCTCGTCGCCAAGGGAAGCACAGGGAACAGAGAGAGAGCAGTTAGCGACCCACCAGCAGTGTCACCCCAGGCCACAGCTCTTCTCCCCACCCCAGTCCTGAAGAGGTGGCTCTAAAATTCAAGCCCTCCTGCTGCCGCTCATCCCACAGAGTCCCAGCCTCAAGCCCCCTCGGGGCACACACTGTCCACTGGCCTTCGGAGGAGGGGGCGGAGGATTTGGTGGCAGTCCTCTATGCAGTCCTCCTCTGAGTTACTGCAAACGCTCGAGGCGGGGGCAGACAGTCGTCGTCAGCCTCGGGCATCTTTAAGTGTCAGGGACTTTTATTCCGGAACCATTACTGGGAGACATTTTCCACCAACCCGCGCCGGCGGTATACAGGAGCCGGCAGCCGGGAAGGAGGGAACTGGTCAGGTGCGGCCTGCACTGGAGGGACCTGGCCTGAGTCGGCAGGGAGTGGCCGGCACTGCTGGGGGCGTGGCTGGTGCCCGGGTGAGCGTGATTGGCACCGCAGAGGGCGGGGCCTGAGTCGGCCCGATGTGGCCCGTCTGCGTGGGCGTGGCCAGCAATGTTGGGGGCGTGGCTGTGCCCGGGTGAGCGTGATTGGCACCGCAGCAGGCGGGGCCTGAGTAACAGATTGGCCGGCACTGCTGGGGGCGTGGCCCGTCCGTGGGGGCGTGGCC